CTGGATCCCACTGCTAGCCACTATCTATCATTGCTACATTCCGTATCACAATTTACCCCATGCAATTAGCTACACAATTTTTCCCTATTCTAACCTTCGTCACAATAGGAGATAAGGTTAGATTGCTCACTATTCTTCTATCATTGCGAACTGCTTTACACGTATATACAACTGACTTACATGTCTACAACGTACCATAATTCATCAAAATAAAATAAGTGATTTAATATATGTAAAATGCAGTCAGAGAGAGACATGAAGTAACGTACTCAGCCAGTGTGTACGCATTCGTGCAGTTGGCGATGACCTATACCTATTTTTTTGAAGGCTAATGATACAACCTGATTTCGCAAACTTCAGTAGGTAGAGCGGTATTCGAACCCATGACGCAGTCGTTGGTGATCATCTCCCTAAACCAATGAGCTATACCTCACAAAATGCACTATTACTGAATATTTGACATAAGTTAAGTTATAGTCATTATATAGAACGATGATCCTCATGAAGATGAATGAAAGATCGATAAAATAAACAAAATAATGCAATAAATTGTATTGTTCTGAGGTTGACAATTTCCTTCTACGATCAGTGTAACGATTTCATTGCAACTATTAAACTATTTCATTTGACGTTACAGCTGATGATCACATTATATCAAAAAGTAATGAGATGAGATTTAATTAATAGCAAGTGAAGTGTAAAAACTGATGAATATAAACTATAAAACATATATATATATATATATATATATATATATATATATATATATATATCATTACTCATCACTCAAGGTGAAGAATAACTCTGGAGTACTTGTTTCGGCTTTGTTTCAATGGTTTAGAACAACGTTTGAACTGATTCTTAAATGTCGACTCCTAGGAGAAAACTCCAGTAGATTATAGGAATAGTCAGCGTTATGCTTTAGAAGAGTTCTGGGCATCTTCACATTATAGTGAATATAAGGTAGAAATAAAGGAATTACAACATAAATATATGACTTTTGAAGACTTCTATGTTAATTTGGAAACTCTTGATGAATTTTATGATTGTCAGTGAAAACTTCTTTCCACATAAGCTACTATGTCTTCAAATGTGTCGTCGAATCCAATCTTCTTATCTTCTATTTGAATTAATGTGTAAAGTGTTATGTGATCCTTTATCGTCTGAGGTGGCTTGGACGTGTGCTGCACATGTCGCATCACCACCTGTCTCCACATGTCATGCTAGGGGAAGTTGGATTAAGTTGGAAGAGGGTTCAGGTTGGCGATATCGAGACGTGTCACCAGGCGATGAAGTCTGTGACTGTTGGTTCTAGCTACAAATGGGGTAGATATACGCTGATGGTTGGAGTCTCCGAGATAATAGGAGCCAATGGTAGAGCTCCTGGGGACATCTTCTTAACGTCTCCTAATGCTTGAATAATCGCACTAACCTTCATCTTCAAATTACTTGTTATCTCACAACTTTTTCTACTTTAATATAACTCTTTTTCCATTCATCTGTTGTTTATATACTACTGTGAAGTGTGGCAACTTGAGTCAGTGCACCTGTGTGCGAGGTTTCACTTTAATTCTATCCATCTGTTTGTGAAGTATTACATTCCTCCTGTGGTCAGTTGGGAGTTTGGTGGTTCAATCTTTACTCACTAATGAATCACTCGCCATTCAGTTTCTATTTTATCAGTATCTGTTTCTAAAAATCTTCACTAATTGGTTGTAGATATCAAGATGTCACTGAAGTAACCTTAATTCCCTGTTGGTAATACGGATTTGACACTAAACGTTTTAAACTTTGTGTTCTTTATTGATGTGAGGTGATGATTAAAGGTATTTATCACTGACTGACATCAGTTGGAAGAACATTGGAGACCTGCGAGCATTGGATACCTGTTTCATCCTAGTATAGGACTTCTCAGCAGTGAATTCCAACCTAAAATCAATTAATAAACCTTCACAAACCTCTAGATAGAATTATTATGGTGCTCATTGGTAACCAGCTTCGAGAGGTGGTTCCCGAAATTCTAATGACAAGTGACCAATGGAGTCAGACAAGTGGAACATGAGAACAGTTACTCAACGACTACATTGGATGTACGTTGCGCTATATCACAAACTGACAGAAGTAGGAAATAGGGATCATGGGATTTTGACGTATTGACTTAATGGTAACATGGTGGCTACGGAACCTTAAAGGTCCTCGGTTCGATCCGTGGTGGGGCGGGGTTATGGGTGCACACTGCTGAGGAATCCCATACTATAACGAAACACCCTTACACTGCTTTTAGGTTTCCAAAGTTCCTCTGATCGATGTCAGTCCATAATGAATTCCAACCTACAATTATTTAAATTATTCATATTGCGTATTCTTCATTTCTTAATGTCATTGTTTATATATTATTTGTCCCTTGGGTTCCTAATGCAACATAGGGCTTCAGTAGCACATCTCCATCCCACTCTCTTCTCTGAAATCTTTTGAACCTGGCTCCATGACAGCCCACAAGCTCTCATTTCTTCCTCACACCATCTCCTCCATGTCACCCTCGGATGCCCAATTCGTCGTTTCCCACCTAGATTCCACTCGAGTACCTGGAGCGTGATGTCTCCGAGTGGTCTCAGTGTATGCCCAATCGATCTCTACTTCCTTCCAGTGCATATTTGTTGAGCGATAGGTTCTTGGTTGGTTTGTTACCCGGCCAGCCAGAGTGAGTTCCTTGTTGCTTATACATTTCTGTCCATCTGAGCTTCGTGAAAGAGCCATTGTAGGCAGTTGTTGATGAATGTGTGTAGTTTGTTGGAAATGCCTTTCGTAACGTGCTCAGTCTCTGAACCATCGCATAGGAGCACTGACTTGACTGATGTTGGTGTTGAAAATCCGGATGTTATTCACACTTTATACTGAGTGGAGTGCAGATCTCCACACTGGTTTCAGGTTAGTGAACGCCTGTCTTGCTGTATTTCCGATCCTAGCTGCTTTGATGTTCTCGTCTGTGCCACCGCCACTTGTAGTTGAAACGATGCTGCCTTGCCTAGGTAGGTGAAAGAGTCTACTTCCTTTAAGCTTCCTTCTCCTATTGATGGTGATTGGAGGTAGTTGTTGATGGTGGTGTTGTTGGTTGGGTATCTTCATCACCTCTGTCTTCTCTGAGTTCACTTGAAGTCAGTTCCGTCTTCGCTGCATCGCTTCTTCTTTCAAGTTGTTAGTTTTTGTCTGTAGATCTTCGAGTTTGTGTGACATTAGACACAAGTCGTTGGCAAAATCCAAATCTTGTAGGATCTTTTCATCGGTCCAGTGTATCTCCCTCTTCTCGCTCCTCACTATTTGGTGCATGATATAGTTCTCTACAATCAGGAAGATCATGGGTGATAGTAGACAACCTTGTCTTACTCCTTCCTGTCTTCACTTCAGAAGCATCACTGAGCTTCTTGTTGTGAATTACTTGGCATGTGTCAACTCTGGCTTATTTCACAGCAGTGCACAGTGTTCAATATTTTGTTGCTTGTTACGAAACACTCATTTCTACATTCCCAAAGTGGTCAAAGCTTGTTAAAAATTAATGCTCTGAAAGTAATATGTAAAGAAAAATGTCTTTGTTAAATGATCCAAACTTATTAAAATTATGAAAAAAGGAGAAAAATTCAATAAACAGCTTTCTTAATAAGTATACTAATACTTCAAACTCAACACAATCTACTCATGATTGTTGAATGTACAAAAATAATGTGTAAGATAAATGACAAAGAAGATTGATGCGAAACTTATTATTCTGTCTCTCATCTGGTTGATACTAGTCATAGAGAAGTTATTCATAACTCTTTCAAAGGTATTTATCAAATCATTTCTAATCTCATCTATGCTGTACAAGTTCATCTTTTGTGCATAACAGAAACTATTGGTAAACCACTTGAATAAGCCAAATCTATGTGTTCAGAAGAAATTTGTAAAGTCTCCTTCTTTGTTTTGACCATCTGTATAGCTTATTTTTAAAAGAAAAACAATATTGTTCCCTTCATTCGTCATATAAATGTTAGCCATTATTATTATTATTATTATTATTGCAGTTTCAGCCGTCTTGCTTTTTCTCCTCTTGTCTCTAATTACCGCCAACAACTGATCACATGACATAATAATTTTTTCTCTGCTCTTCGTGTTAGTTACAATTATGCAAACTATACAATAGTAAGCTTTATAAACAACATTACCATTTATGGATATGCCTGTAATTCTCCGTTGTTTTTACTGCATCGAATCACTCGATGACTTCTATTGGCATCTGAGCTCCTATGCAAGTTACCTCGATACTACCGCCTGAATGTTAATTATGGCAGTTCACTTAGTTACGGTTAGCAGAAGAACCCAGGAAGAGCGTTTCGTACTATTCATCAGATGAAGATACCTGCAGCCCAATGCGGAGTGATGTTATCTCCACTATGATTCGAATCCGGTACCTATCGTTTTAAACACCTGAGCGTTACTCACTAGGTGACGGAGGCGCGGTAGCCAACTCTTGTACAACTTGTATTAGTTATTACTATTTATTCACATGCTTGTAATTCTCTGCTGTTTTACTGGGTTGAATTGTGAATTATCATAATTAACATTCAGGCAGTATCGATGCATCTGTATAGGAGCCTATATACCAATAGAGATCGAACAATTCGATCCAATAAAAAACAATGGAGAATTACAATTGTATCAATAAATAGTAATAACTAATACCCGTTGTACAAGAAGTAGCTATCATGCCTCAGTAGCCTAGTGCATAATACCTTGGAGTTTGGAGCGATGGGTACGAGGTTCGAATCCCAGTGGGGTGCAGGTACGTCCAGCTGACGAGTCCCAGATAGGATGAAACGTGGATCCTGGATTCACCACCATTACCATTATTCAGCATTCATATAAAATTCCTATTCTATGCTTATATATATATATATATATATATATATATATATATATATATACATGTATATAACAAAACAAAATGTTTTTTATTTATGTTTTAGCTTTGTGTTGCAGTACTTCCTCCGCCTGTACAATTTACTCGTGCTGCTGTACGACGTATAGCACGTGCAATTTTACGAAAGTTACACGGACAAAATAAACTGCCTTTTTCACCGTCAATTACTTCAATATCGACCAGTTCAAGACAAGTGATAACAACAATGAATCGAAATAATGATGATAATCATATTGAATCATGTACAAATTTCAATAGTACACCTTATACAGATAATTCTAAAAATATACAATATGATAAAATGAATCAAGTATATCGTTATGAATTATTTCATGGTTCTATGGCAACAAGTATCTATCGAAGAAAACGAAGTTTAATTGCATCATCTTTATATAGTGAATTAGCATCTAGTGTTAAGGATACTGAAACATCAAATGAACAACAACATCATTTATCAGTTGGAGTGAATTGTTCTATCTCATCACAAGAATCTGTAATTTAATATTATGAGTTTTACTTTAACTCAAATTTTCTTCAATTTTAATTACCTTTGAATTCTGAACTAAATTATAGTAGGTGCTTTTAATTTCCCTTTATTATACGGGGCCAAATTGATCGACTTCTGTTAGCTCCTATGCGGATACCTCAATACTCCCGGACTTCTCAGTGTTATGTTAATCTTAGTGACTAGTTGGAGAATTTAGGACGCATTTTTTGTCCTATCGTTCCCCAGTGACGTAGTAGATAACGTTCTGGCGTTCGAAACAATGGGTGCGAGGTTCGGGTCTCAGTGGGAATAACATCACTTTGCACTGGGATGCGGGTACATCCAACTGACGAGTCCCACCCAAATGGAACGAAACGTGCATCCTGAATTCCTCTGCTAGTCATGAAGATCAATATAATCCCATAGGGTTTATTTTGATATAAATGATGATTGGATTTTATTCCTCGATTTTGGAACAATCTATAGAGATTTATTCATACTGAAAAATGACTACGGGTTGATTTGCGAAGCGGAAATACTGATGCACTTGGAGCCGTCCTTGTATGCATCATTCACTTCTATGAGCTTTATGATTTCGAAGAATGGATTTAGTTAAGCGAACGTGCAAGTTTTGTATATTGTATTACAGTTTCTATTCACGTAACATGCAATAAAATAAAGCAGTTGACTGCTGTCTTCTTATTGTGGAGTTGTGGCTCCGTGGTTTGGAGAGATGACTATAAACCATTGGGTCATGGGCTCGAAGCGGTCTCAGCCAACTAAGGTTTCAACACCCAGTTAGTATCATTGGGTCTCACACAAGAGGTACGGTCCATTGACAAATGCACGAATGTGTGGTAGAAATAACAAAACGTTATATTCCCGAATAAGATCTTTCCAAACGCATTGTGGTAAATTAAACTATGAAGGTAGTAAATTTCTACTTCTGAGGCCAGTGGTTTAGAATGCTGGTTTTCTACCAGCTAATACTTATTATATATCAACTATTTCAGGGACTCATTCAATCTTCAAAGAAATGTAATCCTGAGCAAGGTTCTCCGGGATGGGTCACTAATATGCTGAAAGATTGGATACAGCTGTCATTCATTGTTTTTAGAAACAACTTCCAACCTACGGTACAGGAGCTGGAAATTGACGTCACTATCTAAGGCTTTAATTTCCGAGTGTTGTGATTGATTTTGCTCTCCTAAAGACAGACAGAAAGAAATCAACGTAGAACCTCACACACACATTCATCGGTTCAAGTTACCATGCTCCACAATAATATATAAAGAACGGGTGGTAGAAAAAAACTGATATCCAAGTGAACAAAGTTGTTTGAGAGAATAAATAATCTGAAGATAAAGGTTAGTGGAGATATTCAAGCTTTATAAGATGTCGAGCAGTGAATACATCTGCGCCACTATGACCGATTTTCAGCCATGTCACCCGGCTTTATCATCCATTGATTTTTGTCGTCTTGGAGGCGCCAACTGGGCAACCTACATCTCCCAACCCCGCTCAAGCCAACATTCAAAGACTTCATCGACTGATGCCTTGTCTTTTTTGAGTCACCCTGAAACCACTTCCAACCTTATTCAACTTGCCTTTGTATGGCTCGTCGACATAGGCTTTGGATCGCCATGCGCATTACATGTCCAGGCCATCTCAGTTGATAAAGGTTCACCGCATCATCAATAGACTTCCCTGTCTTGCCTAGTACTCTCCACTTGGTCTCAATTTTGTTCATACGGTAGTCCCACCAAGCGCAAGCAATGATACGAAATCATTTGTTATCGAAACTCTGTAGTTCCTTTATGTCTCCTACTTTAAACAGCCTTGTCTCACAACCGTGTTACAGGACAGAGAGACCTGCAACGCAGCTTACTGGACGTTTAGTAGGTAGTGGGATATCTCGGCAAAAGGTGCCACTGGTGGCGCGAGTTGGCAAATGGTAAATGGGTCTTCTGTATACGAGCTGAGATTTCGTTAGCAATCAACCTGTTCAGTGCACTGATGCAACTCCCAAGTAAGTGAAGTGGTTGACATATTCCACTACTCCCAGCAGACGAATCTTGGAGCATCATCTTTGAGAGGTGCGAAATGCATTCCAAACATACTCAAATATCTACTCAACACATCCAGAAGACTCTGCACTTTGTCAACATCTTCACCTAGCAGTACAATATTGTCTGCACACTCCAAGTTTTATAGATGACCTCCAGGGGAGTAGGTTGATCCGGTTGAAGTCAGACGCGCCTAGGATTAAGTCTATAAGTACGTATGTGATGAAGTTAAGTAGTAACAGTGACAGTAGGCACCACCATTTGGCAGCACTAGTTGTTATCAGTTCGGATAACAACTTTCTATGCACCTTTACACTGTTCCATGAGTTCTAGTTGAGAGCTTTGATGAGCGTTCAATACTTGCTAGGTACTCTCTTCACAGTAATACACTGCCGCAACACTTCTTGGTTGACATAGTCGAATGGCGCCTTCAGGTCCAGAGATTTGGCAAGTGTTGCCCACTGGTCGGTAGGTGTGTCTGTATCCCAAAACCTGTCGTAGAGTAAAAATATGATCGACCCAGGTCTAAACGTTGACTGGTTTCCTCGAGTTTGCTGTTCTCGAGCTCTAGTTAGGCGTCGGATAACTGTAGTCCTTAAGATGTTAAACACAATATTGGTCAAGCTAATTCCCTTATAGTTGTCACAAGAAGGTGTCTCTCCCTTCTTATGAACTGGGATGATCAGTGAAGTACACCATTTTGACTGCAATACCCCTGATTCCCATACTCCTGTCCGTCTCCGGAATCGAAGCATATGTTAAGTCATCATTAATGAGGGCCAGATAACTAAATGGAAATTCACTTGGTCAATATTAACGTTATCTTGCTTAGAAACTGATATAACCTGCTTGTGTATGTGTTTGTGTGTGGTGACTTGAACAACCATCTCCAATTCTACGTTTAATGTTTTCTCAGTTGCTTGGTAAATCGAAAAGGCGGTAAGATAACAGAGGTTATATTGCAACGTTAAAATACATGCGAAATATTATAGTTTGTTTATGTTTCAACGGTCTTGGGTAATTTCCAAACCTTTTTAGAAGAACATTCATTAGTGCCTCTTCAATAAAGCTGTTATTTTCACGTGTGATCTTGTCCTTTTTCTCTAGCGAAGTGATTGTGAAAGGCTTCCTGAATTTACGGCTGTTAACATGAATCTGCTCAATCTTTTTTGCTCAGGATGTATATTTTTTCAGACTACAATATCATGATTAGTGGTTTCAAGAATGTGTGATTACAATGTCAATGTCTGTATCCATCTCTGTGTAATGTTCTGTATTTATTTATATCTGTCTTGAACGAGTTCTAATTATTCCTGTTTACTGTTGAAACAATTTTGGTTTGGCAAACCTGTGTATTGATGATACTAAGCATAACTTTCTATAATCAAAAGAGAATTAAAATGTGATCAGCAGATGAATATCATCAGGGAGTCTCTAGAGCAGTGGATCGGTATTTGAGAAGCTGTTGCTTCGAATCCTACTACAGTTTAAGTTTCTATTTTATCTTCAATTATCACCTGTTATTCATAATCTACACAACAAAACATATCATATTCTTGTTTATTGAAGTTTTGTTGTTACTATCTTTCTTGTTTTTATTTCTGCCTAATCCACTTCACTTTCTCTCATTCTTTCTTTTCCTTCAACAATTAGCATAGTCGATTGAAACCACCAACATCTGATTCACCGTCTGCATTAACTTCGTTAATCAGTTTGGATTCGTATACAGGCCATCTGATAGCACGTGAATTGAATAGTTTACTTCTAGACAAAGATACTAAACTAGCTATTATGAATGATATTCAACGTGAATTAAGTCGTCCAAAATATCGTCCAGACTTTTTCTACGCTGGTAATAAGCATAAATTACCATTGTGTCATGTGCCTGAATATACAACCTTTAAACAATTTCCATGTGATGTAAGTAATTTTTCATAAAGAAAACTTTTAAATTTGTTTATCATATCAGTAAATGATTATTTATTTGTCTATGAAAAATATACTTTCTTGTTTCTTTCAATATTTTCGTTGTTGATTTTATCTGGTACCTAACTAGATGAAAAAGGGAAAAAGACAGTAATATTGAATTTTATACCACAGTGGATTGATTCAAACTGTCACACTTTACAAAAACAGTAGTAGCCTACTCAAAAAAAAAATACTGCAGTCCTAATCTGCTTGATGGCCAACAGTAGAATCCAGAAAGTGCGTTTCGTCCTATTTGTGACTCATCAGCTAAATGTACCTGCACCACAGTGAGTGATCTTGCTCCCACTGATACTCAAACATCATACCCATCGCGTAGTCTATTAGACCACTCTGACATAAGAACCACCTCTTATGATGATGGATACTGGATTTCAGTCTCAGTAAGAGCAAAATCTCTCACTGGGGTGCACGTACATCCTGCTGACGAGTCCTAAATTGGACGAGACACGCGTCTTAGATTCCACTGCTGACCATTAGGTAGATTACAATATGAGTGGTTGGAAATTTCGGGGCATATCTTTCAACGTCTTCCAATGAAATGAGTCCATTAAGATTATTCTGAAATACAGTACGTTGTAATGAAATTCCACTAATAACTGAATCACAGACAGAAGCATAAGTACTTATGGTCAAACAGTCTTCAACGGATTTAGTATTCCTTCAGAAGGGATATAAGAAGTCTAATGTGTAAGATTCTCAATAAGTTTAAGATTAGAGTGATGTTTAAAATCTAAATACTCAGTTACTAATAGTGTGTTGGCTAAGTGATCTAACTGAGCATGTTAATCAAAAGGACTCATCCTCCTTAGTTTCATATGCTGGTTGTGAGATCAATTATGTCGGTCAAGGTAATCGATCGCAGTCAATTTGAATGACAGTAACTTAGGTAAATATAGAATGATGAAGCTAAGCAAGATGTGACTTTAATATGTGGAATCCAGTTGAAGCAGAACTCTGCTTCCTGTTGTGCAGCTGTACTTCGTTAAGTTTCCAGATGTCAAGTATTGTGTCTTGGATTCAAATGTAAATACATGAACGTCAGCCTGGATAACCGAGTATTATCGCGAGGTCTCACATAACAAGCTCAAAGCCTAATACATAGGACGTTACCGAATAACTGAGTTGCACTGTTTATTCTATGCATGGTGTCAAGTATAGTATGATAAGGCAAGGTGACAGTTTGAAGAATTATGTTGACCTATTGATTTGTTCAACATTATATATGATGGAAACGATTCATTTTTATAAGCCAATGGGTCTTGTATAAGACAGGAAGCGTGCAGGCGGTTGACACTTCCCGGATGCCCACATCCTGGAATGCTAGTTCTTTTTGAGGTACCTGGAAAAAAGGATAGTGTGTGACCACAGAGCCTAAAGCACATCTACCTGAAACCGTTCACACGTGGCTTTTTTGGGGAGTTTGAGATTTCTGTCTTTTGCTTTGGAATGCGACTGTGAATGTTCGTTGCAGGCATCGGTATACCGTGAGGCGTAAGAGTGTGCAATTTTTGGGCCGATCTTTTCCACCCGCACTTTCCCATAGGGAAGGCAGCATCGGCGTGGCAATGCTGCCACACCTCCATCTAGTCAGCAGTACGACTTTGTGCTCAGACTCCCATTACAGTGCAGCGATTTTCTTTAGAATGTCCCCCCAGAAGAAAATAATGCGAAGAATAAGAACCATTTTTCTATATTATGACGGTATGTTATTATGAACAGAGACATTAAATCGTGTTTCAAATGTTATTCAGTTAGTAATACTATTTCACAGTGAGATACATGTTGAGAATCTTATTACACTTTTATGGTAGTCCTTAAAATTAACCATGTTGGTGGAAATATTTCCTTGTGTTTTGTTTGTTATAATCAGTTCGCTTACACCTTCCTGTCGTCAATGCAAGTTCAATCACTCAGATCTGTATGTGTACATCTGCCACTAAACAGAAATTCCTAAATGCTTGTGGATGAAATGCGTCTATAATTAGTGAGATTCACACAACCCAGGTGTTGTATCTTTCGTTTGAAATGCACACATGTATGCGAACTCATTGACTAATATGCTGTATGTGTGTGTATGTTACGTGTGCCTAGCTTCCGTCTGCCTCGTCACACAATATTGGCTGAAGTAGTTTCAGGCTGGGAAAATGCTGTTGGCTGTCGGCCAGACTGAAACATGGCATGAATGAATGAATGAAGTGTTTTACTGTTGGTTTGAGCCATGTGGGACGATGTAGACTATCCGGTTGAGGTTCTGTGGAGAAGAGAAACCAGTTGTTGGAGGCTGGTTGTAGGTGATATGACTGAGAACAGATGTGAGTGGTGCAGATGTATACATAGATTGTCCTCATCTTAACGATGCTCTACCGAGTCTCACCATTTTCTCATTCTTCCTTTCTCTCTTTTCATACTTTATATTTCTTTTGACTGAATGTGGTTTTCTTCATCTTCTACTTCACTGCCTTTTTACTTGATGTACTGACATGAGATGAGGTGTTGCAAGTTGGACCGTTACGCAGTAATCGCTGGTTCTATGCTGATAATGATGAGAAAAGGTTATTATCACTTTTCGAATTTCAATGAAATTAACGATGATTAATTAACGGTAGCAATGAATAAATTTAGGTCAATGAAATAATGGGGTTTTTATTTGCACAGGTACACGTTAGATAAACTAATGTTGTTGTCCTAAATCATTTCAAAAACCAGTTTTTATCGTTCTGCAGGTATGAGTTCAACTACTTTTATGCGTTTTTTTTTTAAAAAAAAAGAAGGAAGATTTTGTTCTCTTTTTATGAAAAACCGTGTACATTATAAGTTATTGTTGTAATAATCAGGACTATATTTCTGACGGGGTTATTTGTAATGCCGATTTCATTCATGACCTAAGCGAGTTTATTAGGATAAGAAAGCAAAAACCATCGAATTTATTTGTTCAGTCTGAAGGTTTGTAGAGATTTATTTATTGATTTTAGGCTGGGATTATGACCCAATAGCTCAATGATAATGTGCTGACCGGGGAACCTGAAGGTCTTGGGTCCGATCCCTGGCAGGGTCATTGGTGTGCACGGCTGATGGGGAGTCCCATACTAGGATGAAGCACCTAGTGGTCAGTGCTCTCAAGTTTCCAATGTTCCTCCAACTGATGTCAGTTCATGATGAATTGGAACCTAGAATTTATTCGTCTTTATGCCAATAGACAAGTATATACCCTATGAATAAAGGGTGCTTGTAAAATTATTAAAATTAACCATAAAGCTGATTTTAAACAATCTTGTTTGCTTCAAAGGGGATATCACACGCCAGGCCAGACCAGGCCATCGAGTGAAATCCAAAGGGGGAACTGCCAGTTGGGCGTCCCAGCAGGGGGTGACATGGAGGAGATCATGTGAGGAGGAAATGAAAGCTTGTGGGCAGTCGTGGTGCCAGTTTCAAAAGACTGCAGAGAAGAGAGTGCAATGGAGGGGTGCTACTGAAGCCCTGTGTTCCACTAGGAACTCAGAGGGGAAAAAAAATAATTTTTTACTTCAAAGACTTTGTTTCATTTATCGTAAAGAGGAAACCCCTTATAATTAGGAGATAATTATGTTTCCTGTATAAATCAACATTACTATACCATATAGATATAGAGAAAGCGTAACCACGTGATGAAGAGTAATTGGAATATCGAAAGAGAAGGAGTCGTCAAAGATGAGTAATTCACAAAGCTTTCACTACACTTTCGAACATAGAAAACAAAAAATGAAAACGAACTTCTTTGCCATCGCTTTCTGCTCTGCCTCCCCCCCTACCCCTATCTGATAAACTCTTTAACCAATGAATATTCCTTCCGCAGCCATATGTGATGATATAATTGCCATTAGGTTATCTCTTCAATGTTTTTAGATTTCTATCAATACATTTTATTATATTGTTCACTGGTTTGCATATCTGAATGATTCCTCCACAGCGAATCGATTTTATTGTTCTGTATTGTATTTTTCATGTTAGTTAAATTATGTTTGTGATATATCAAACAGTTGTGTGCACGAAATTTCACCTTCAGAATTTGCAGACTGATTTCTTAGAAAGTAATCTTACTATGCATACTGAGAATTCTTACTTTGATTGGGTTGGAAGATTGGTCTTCACTTACTCTCAGTTTACTGATAAGGAGTGAAGTGAAGAATTTATCGACCACTTAACTTACTTGATGGTTTATATCAACTCGAACCGACTGGTTGCTGACGAGATCTCAGCTCGAATATAGAAGACCCATCTGGAATTTGGCAACTTCCATTATCTGTGACACTGACTGGGGGGATATCCGACTATCTATCAAAGGACGGGTATACTGCGCTACATTTCCTGCTGTAATGTTGTACACCTTGGATATAGCCATTAAAATTAGAAGACATGAAGCGATTGCTGAGTTTTGATCATAGGTGTCCTCATAGCATCAATGGCGTTTGGTGGAATCACCACATGAGCAATGTTTATGTTAGTTGAAAGATATTAGGCAAGACAGGCACATCGATTGATGACGTTGTGAACCTTAGTCGACTGAGGTACCTTGGTTGGACTTGTACTACGTATACGTAGCCACGAGGCACCTCAACATAGCATGCTAAAGAAGTTCGCTCATAGTAGAAGTGAGTTCATGGTGACCGGACCAAGACATGGTACTAGTCGATGAACTCTATTTCTGTTGATCTGAGGCATTTGGGGAGATATAGGTTGCGTGGTTAGTGTCCTTGAGACCAGAGGAATTAGTGGTTGAGGACTGACTCTTGGTGATATGGCTGAAAATCCATCAGTCTTTTCCCATCCACCTGTTTTTTATATACTATTGTGAAGCATGGTAACTTGAACCGATGCACTTGTGTGCCAGGTTCTACGTTGATTTTATCTCTCTGTCTGTCTGCCCTTATTCTCGTAAACTTTTTGTTCAACAGATTAGTTAATGTGGGCTTTTGTCAGATAGTAACATTATTTACACACTAACCCCGTTGCCCATCATTATATTAGAGAGGCTCTGGAACTGTTGAGGTTTTCTTCGATTTAAAACATCTGTTTGAAATCATTTTGAATTGTTTCTAAGTCCTCATGTTGCTGAGTAGTGTAATTTATTGGGGTTTTTTTCTTGATAATTCTCACGTTTTCATTTCAATGATAATAGAAGTTTCTATATACACTCTAAATCTCTGTTAAATCTTCCTTGTTGCAATTCTGTTGTTATCGATCTGATTGTTAATAACTTGACGATCCTTGTTTGTCTGAAATGCACCATCACAATACTATGCTATTCAGATGGATTTGAGTAAAGTTCAATATTCTCCTTGAAATGCTCAGATATGACAGTGCTTACATTGTCTGTTTTCGGGAAGTCCTATTGATGGCCTTCATGTGCCCATGATGTTTTCACATAAGTTGAAGAGTGGAAACGAATATCCAACTCTAGACACCAGTTGAATAGATACCAGCTGGTTCATTTATAGTCGGTGTAACACCCGGATTCTCATAGCTGCCAGGATCATTCAGGAGCGAATGATATGTTAACCTTTTGTGGTCATAGGTAATCATGGGAATGGAATCGTTGCTGATTTTCCACTATCTTCTGAATAAATGGTCAAGTCGATGACTTTGGAAGTTCTGGCCACTTGTCATGCCACCACCACCTTAGTAATACGCGTGTTAGATGTAAAATCTTAAATAAAAATGGTAGGTTAATTAAAGAAATCGTAAAATTTCATTAACTTAGATGAATTGACGATGTGTTATTCATTCCTGGTCACCCTTTATACTGATGCATAGTGTAGATATACGCTGGCAAAGGGTTAGAGGCTGACAGATTAGTACTTGGCATCAGTTTATGAAGTCTTTGACCGATAATCTGAGCCACGTAGACGAATATAGCCCGTATAATAATTAAAATCAAATTTGAGAAACTTAAGGTAATATGGCTAATAATTGATATCACTGGCACATATAGTCCAATGCATAGTCTTCATCCTATCGGTTACAAGGCAGTTCGTTATTTCCACTGACTTCTCATGTTTGTGTTTCTATGTTTTCTAAGACACTTTTTATTTCGTTATCTTCCATCTGAATGTGTTTTATCGTGATGTAAGGTGTGTCAGCTTCAATCTTTATGTAACCATATTAAGTCTCCTGTTGATACTGTACTGAACTACAGATGATTGCTTTTAGCCTTAACCTTCACAGAAATCATGGGATTGTGATTAAAACAATGTTTGTGTATATGATACCCGTTTCGTGCTTTAATTCAATCAAATCATCTACTATTATTATTATTCCATTGGATTCCTAGTGAAACATAGGGCTTCAGTAGCACCCCTCCATTGCACTCTCTTCTCTGCAGTCTTTTGAAACTGGCACCACGACTGCCCACAAGCTTTCATTTCTTTCTCACATGATCTTCTCCATGTCACCTTCTGCTGGGACGCCCAACTGGTCGTTTCTCCTTTGGATTTCACTCGATGGCCTGGTCTGGCCTGGCGCGTGATGTCCCTTATTGGCCTTCTCAGTGTATACCCAATCCATCTCCAGTTTCTTCTCCATATTTGTTGGGTGATAGGTTCTTGGTTGGTTTGTTACCCGGCCAGCCAGAGTGAGTTCCTTGTTGCTTATTCTTTCTGGCCGTCTGTCTGATCTTCAGTATCCAGTAAGTGTAGACGGCATCTGTTGATGAAGGTCTGTAGATTGTTGGAAATGCTTTTCATGACATGACACGTTTCTGAACCATATAGCATCACTGATTTGATATTGGTGTTGAAAATCCGGATCTTGTTCCACATGCTGAGTGCAGAAGATCTCTACAGTGGTTTCAAGTTAATGAACGCCTGTCTTGCTGTATTTCCAATCCTGGCTGTTTTGACGTCCTCGTCTGTGCCACCGCTGCCTGTAGTTGAATGTATGCTGCCTTGCCTAGGTAGGTGAAAGAGTCTACTTCCTCTAAGTTTCTCCCATTGATGGTGATTGGAGCTTGTTGTTGATGGTTCACTTGAAGTCAGTTCCGTCTTCGCTGCATCGCCTCTTCTGTCAACTTATTGGATTTTGCCTGTAGATCTTCAAGTTTGTATGACATTAGATATAAGCTACCATCGGCGAAATCCAAATCTTTAACTGGCGTCTTTTGATCAGTCTAGCCAGCGTATCCCTCTCTTCTCGCTCCTCACTGTTTGGTGCATGATCCAGTCCACTACAATCAGGAAGATGTTTGGTGACAGTAGGCAGTAACTTTGTCTTACTCCCAATCAAATCATCTACTATATTAAAATTATATTGTTCTTATTTTCCTCTTACAGGTAAATTATACTACAAAAGAGTTGAAATTCAATCAAACTCATTTATTCAACTCTAATTCTAAAAAGTCTCCAACAAATGTATTGCAAAAAGGATTATCTATTGAAGGTGTTATAGGTCTATCTATGAATAAATCAGTTACATTATTAGATCCACAGAAAACCGCACTAATCAATGCATATCATCATCATTATCATCACCAACAACAGAAGAAAGGGATATCTGATATAAAGAATTTAATGAATTCTCCAAAAACGAATGAACTTTTCGCATATCTTACAGATATGTTAGACAGTCGAATTCTACAAAGTTTCACATTTATTATTCTTTCAATTGCTTGTTTTATTAATATGTTTGGTAAGTGTTTAGCTGCAATAAATTATTAATTATTAATTAATTAATTAATTATTGATTTTTGATTATTATTTACTGACATACTTGTGTTGTTATTCTCCTTTGTTTTATTGGATCGAATTCTTCGACCTCTATTGGTATATGAACTCCTATACGGATGCCTCAACATTACTTGAATGTTAATTATAATAATTTGGTTAGTTATGGCTGTTAGAAGGATATAAGACGCACGTTTTGTCCTATTTGGGACTCATCAACTGGATGTTGTGTGAGTGATGTTTTCCCTACTGTGATTTGAACTTTGTACCTATCCATTCAAATGCCAAGAAGTTATCCACTCTACCACGGGAAGGTCGAACAATTCAACAAAACAATAAAGAATAACAATTATATCAATGAATAGTAATAAATACTACCTGTTGTACAAGAAGTGGTTATCCTCCCTCCATGGCACAGTGGATAACGCCTTGGTGTTTGAAGCTATGCGTGCAAGGTTTGAGTCTCAGTGGGAACAGCATCACTCCGTACTGGGGCGCAGTCACATGCAGCTGACGAGTTCCTGAGAGGACGAAACGTACATCCTGGATTCTTCTGCTAGCCACAATCAACCAAATTATCATGACTTTTATAGTTTATTAAAAATAACTGAGATAACTTACTTTGGTGTAAATAAAGGAATTTTCAGACAGTTAGGTAGGCAGAAAGTTGGTGTACAAATAACCAAATACTCACCATCAACTTTCAGGCTTCCAGTTGATAACCTATAGTATCTTGAAGGGATTCGAAGTAAGCCAATAAAATCACTTTCGATACGATCAAATCTTATGTTTATAATTGACCAATATATCAATTAGCATATTAGATAAATCGATAAAACTAAGCTAATTTTCTCTATTATGAACTTGTTTATTGACTACATCAAGTATTAAATATCTCGGTATTGTAGCATCTCATCATCCATTACTCATGTGTGTATGCGTAAGGATCTTTTATAACTTACACAAATTCATAAGAAATCGAAAGAAAAATATTAGCAGTAGTAGTAATACATATGTTATTAATAATAATCCCACTACTAATGGTAATAATGGCGACAGGGTTAAGAGAGAATTCAAAGCCTCTGCTGTGTTACCATGCAAGGAAGCCACCATAGAGGGATTATGAAGAATTCTCAATAAGGCTAGCTGGAAAAAGCTGCATTCGAACCCACAAACTCGCTTAGAAAGGAACTTTGTAGGTTAAAAGATCCTATCGATGCAATTAAGTAAAAATAATCTGGTTTACCAGATCCCTTGCAATGATTGCGTTGTCAAGTACATAGGTCAAAGCAGTCGACTAGTCAGGGTCGATTAGAATAACACAGCACAGAAACTTAGCTAAGTCAAGATTAGTGGATGCTAATAAGATAAGAAATCTAGAGAAAAACTCGGCAATAGCTCTGCATGCGATGACACGCAATCACACAGTAGGGTAGGATGAGGTGACAGTGTTGAAAACTAACTTTGTTTAGTGGAGGGAGAGAGAGATTGATAACCGAATCTGCTTTTATCGAATCAACATCAACACCAAATACATGCAGTCATCGAAATGATTCTTCACCTTCCCCAGATATATGGACAATCCTACTACCCTTGTCATCACAAAGAAGGAGAGAGTAGTTTAGGAATGTGTAAAGACTTTCTCGAAGTTGTGGAGTTGGTTATCAGATGTGAATATGGAGAATAAATTGTGTCCGAAACGTTATCCAGTAAATAATACTGTTCCTTCACTGTGTGACACATTTGATAAACTGACTAAAATGGAATTACACTGGACCACAGTGCCCAAGTTTTACACTTATATTAATAACTTGCACAAGTTTGAGCTTACGCCCCAGAATTGACGAGATCTATAAAGTTACAGGCAGTTATAATTCTGGCTTGTGGTTAACTATCGGTTGTTCAGTAGAGCTGAACATTGTGGATGAATTAATCATCGAAAGCCACTTTGTGGGATTATCTTATCCTTCACTGACTTCTATAGTCAATCAATCAGGTTACATAATGTCTAACTATATTTATTTCATTTTATGCAGTCATGTGTTTTATAATACAACAAATTCCCATTTATGTGATTTTACTTTCTAATTAGCGATTGGGATAAATTTCCCATTCAATCGAATACTTGCTTCCCACATAGTACTTTACTGTCTTGTTTTACGCAAGCTAACCATATTTATGCGATTTTCAATTTTTCCCATTGATTTCTTTCAGCAGCTAAACAATACTAGCCAATAAAAAGTGTGTTCTGTTTTCTTTCTTTCATTCTTTCCTACCTTCTCTCTTCCCTTCTGGACTGTTATCGGTTATTATTGCGTAATGTATCAACACGACTTCATAATTGATACAAGTTATTATTATTATTATTGACGTAGGAGTATATACATCTCGGCTGCGAATTTTGATTTCCCACCACATTCTGGTAAAGATGAATGCAGAACGATCAATCATTAGGATTGGGCATACATATCAAGGAGATATGTAGTCTGGTCGAATGTGTTGACCACGGGTTGCATCAAGTTGAATGAGTTCGTATATAGAGGGCCCGTCTGGCATTTGCTGACGTGCGTTATTTGTGCCTCCGATTGGGTGGCTAGGGGGGGGGGAAAGATATCCAACTATCTATCAAGGGATGAGATTACTGCTTCGTAGTTTGTTCTATCCTGTTGTATGGCTGTGAGACATGCTCAGGTAGGAGATATGAAGCAACTACAGGTTTTTGATCACAGGTGTCATCAAATCACTGTTCACGTATGGTGGAACCACTGTGTGAGCGATGTTGATGACAGGCAAAGGGTACTAGGGAAGACAAAAATTTCCCACTCAATGGGGTTATAAACCTCCTCTGGCTAAGATGTCTTGGAGGTGTGCTGCGCATGCCGAGCCATCACCTACCTTGACATACAATGCTAGGTTTGAGTGGATTAGGTTAAAAGACTAAGAAATTGAAACGATCCGAGATTTCTCTGAATGTTGGTCTAAGTCGTGAAGGAAGGTACAAACTACCTGACTGGGGTTTCTAAGACTATATGAATCAGTGGTTGAGGACTCTTAGTGAAATAGCTGAAAATCGATCACAATCGTCCGGATATATTCACTCCTTGACGTCATCTGAAGCTTGAATATTTTAACTAACCTTGACTTTTAGTTTCTCTGTCCTTGCATCTACCTTTGTCTAGGTTTATATACTATACTGTTGTGAAGTATGACAACTTGAACTGACGCACTTGTTTACAAGGTTTTGCTCTGAAGGAGGTTTTTTGGTTCCCAACACATAAAATCATATATGCCAATAGAGCTTGAAGAATTCGATCCAGTGATAACGACGAAGAATTACAAGTATATCAACAAATAGTTATTACTAATACCCGTTGTACAAGAGGCGGTCATCGTACCTCAGTGGCCTAAGAGATGACGCGCTTTGGTAATTGAAGCAATGGGTACAAGGTTCGAGTCTAAGTGGGAAGAACATCACTCCGCACTGGGGTGCACGTACAACCAACTGGCAAGTCCCAAATAGGACGAAACCACAATCCTGGATTCTTCTTTTAGCCACAACCAGGTAAATTACCGTAGTAAAGTTGTTCGCTGGAATTTTTCTGGGATCAGAAACTATTTTTAGGCAACTTTGAAGTGGGTGTCCAAAAACTGGTTTAGACTGCTGAAGTTTTGTGTTTGCCGACACCTATTGGCAGAGTATATATATATATATATATATATATATATATATATATATATACCTTCAAAACAGGTATTCTTCTTGTTGTTCGAAGCTGGAATGCATAAAGCCATAGTAAAGAGATATTGACGGTGATATGTGTACACCAGCAGTGGTGGAGAATATTTGTAGCTCAGGTAGATGGTCTTGGTTGTATTGTGTTCTCTAAGCTGGGTTGTTTAGTCGTGGAGCTTTCATCATCTTTCCAGACGAAATCATCCACAGCACTAACTTCATTATGAAGTGAGTTGTCAATATCTCTGTGAGTGACTTAGTATCTTCCCTGACGAACTGGTTTCTGATTGGTTGTTTCCATTGATTGTTGTGTCATTGTCAGCATAGCTTTTCCTGTTGGTTGTTCCTCTGTTTGATCTCTGACCTTTCTGTCGTTCGTCATTTTTCTCATTGGTTGATAGATTGGGTCTATGTTTATACATCTGTTGATTGCTGGCTCACTGACCTGAATGCCAAGCTTCTAGAAAATCTCTGACATTCTTTGTGTTTCCTCTGTCAAAAATTTCTACATTGTCGAAATTGAATCGACGTCCATAGTTGTTATCCACGTGCATTGAAATGAGTGACGAAATGTCGTGGCGTTTAATAGCCGATTGGTGTTCATGTAGACGAAGGAGAAGAGGGCGACCACTTTGTCCAACGTAGTGTTGACTTCAGTTATCGCAGTTGATTGTGTAAATGATATTCGGTTTATCTTCTTTGGTTGTTGCATCCTTTGATCTGCATAATAGTGTTTGTAGGGAATTTGTTGGTTTACGAGCCACATCAATTCAACTGAGTGGTCTCAGTAATCTCTGTTGTGATTTCTGATATATTCTTTATGCATTATAGTAGGATGATGCGTTTATTGATTTCTGTTGATGACTTTGTAGTTGATGATACACGGGATAGGTATCTTCCTGATAGAGTTTCGTGAGTAACCGTTCTTCTTCACGGTGGATATCAAGTAATTTTCTTCGTTTCTCCTTGAAGTTATTGTGCTGCAGTGTTTTCTCGCTGTTTTGAATAGGGTCTGTATGCAACTGATTTTGTATGTTGTTGGGTTGTTGCTATTGCAGTTGAGGATTTGATCAGTGTGTGTTGGCTTCCTGTACACTTGGATTTCTAGCTTTCCGACATTTGTACTACTGACTAGCGCATCGAGGAATGTTAGTTGTTTGTTTGACTCTTTCTCCATTGTGAATTTGATGTCATTGAAAACGTTGTTGATCAAACTGTGAGTGTTTTCTATATCACCTTTTTTTGAATGATGACAAATGTTTCGTTTACATAACGAATCCAATTTTTTTAGCTTGATCACAGGTAGGATGATGGCTTCCAGTCTCTGTATCACTGCTTCTGTAGATGATATGGCTGTCTAGAAAGGCGATGAAAGCTCCACGACTAAACAACCCAGCTCAGAGAACACAATACAACCAAGACACTAATGTAGTCCTTGGAAGCATAAAATATCAAGGGGGTCATGGGGTCAACAATACTGAGTTATAGTTTAGAGGTAGTGAATATTCACTGACTAAGGTAGATATATCAGACGTTACGTCTCCTAAGTCACGATCTGTACCAATGATTTACTTTAGTTAAATTAAAAAAATAGCCAAGGTTGATCGGATTAAGAAATGGAAGTAATCGATAAGGAATATGATTTTTGAGTTAACTGCGTAGCTAAAATCTAGGCTATTTAACTGTGATCCTGAAGATGACAGGATATCACAATGGCACAGATGTATGTACACGTGAATATTAAGGTTTATAATAATTAACCTTCATTTGTATTCACCTTTATTCTTATACACTGTCGTCTACGTTGATATCAATAGTTTTCATTCCACTTCCTCTTTACATACTGTTGTAAAGTATGGTCACTTAAATTAATGGATACACCTCTGCGTAAGTTTTTACTGTAGTCTGTCTGTCATTATTCTATTGGACATCATCACTGTACAACATTATTTCACTTCATATTAAGAATAATTTTATAAAAATGAGTTTATAAAAGACAACCTATCATCATGGACTGACATCAGTTGGAAAAACATAGAAAACCTGGGAGTGCTAGACGGCTGTTTCGCTATAGTATAAGGCTTCTCAGCAATAATCATTTATGATTAGCTTCCAAAGGTGATTCTCGAAGTTTCAATAAGAATTTATGTCCTTTAGGGCTAACCAAGTTGAACATGAGAACACTTACTCAACAACGGCATTGAATGGAGATCATGCTATATCGTGAACTGACAGAATTAAAAAATGGTTTTGGTCGCCGCTTAAGCTAAAGTTCCAGGATGTAGACTGCTGGGACAAAACAAGCTGTACAAATGGTCTGAGATTTGCTAATGTTTCTCCAACTAATGTCAGTTCATGATGATATCAGTAAATAAATCCTCAAAAACGTGAAAAATGTAAAAAACAGTTTAAATGAAAGATCTCTTTGTGCTAAATATTAAATATATCTACTGATAAATATTACGTTCATAATTCCCATTGTGATATCAAAAACAGGAAATTCAATGAAGAGTACTCTTTTCAACGTTTTTATTCTCGAAATATACATTCGTATACATATACTTAATATTTAAAGACTGTAATCCGTGAAGAAGATTTAACTTAAATAATGGAAGGTTGAAGTAATAACAATAGTAATAATAATAATCGTGGTTATAATTATAATATTACTAGTTGATAACGTAATGGTCGAATGATAACAAAAAGGGTTATGTAAGATTTTTAAATCGTTTACAAGGTGCATATAGATTACAGAGGCGTGAACACATGGAAGAGTTAATAAGCAAGCAAAGGTGACTACGTAATATGAATGAGACAACAGGTTAATTGGAATAAATTGAAAATGTTTTATTAAAAGTTGTGGATATTAGGAAGATCAAATGAAATAACACGGGAAACAATTAAATAAAGTGATAATGACGACATGACGACGACGTGCTAAGATTAATCTGGCAAAAAAAAGGGGAGGGTGGGGGTGAGAAATGAAAAAGGAACTAAGCACATCGAGACCAAAATTAAGGCTGAGGTAGAGACAAAGACTGTAACATACTTCTTTTACACACAAAGGACAGGCTGGTTAGAGTTCATGGATAGCTAAAGCCTCTACTGTTTTTAGAAGGTGAATACGGATGAAGGAAACGTGAGGTGTTTGAGTGAATTCGATAGACAACCTTGAAATCATTGTTTACGTCGGGTTGAATGGTTGGAATCGATTCAGTGTTCAAGGATAGAACTTCTGATGCATTTTCTTTCACCCTTATAAAATCAAGTCGGAATATGTTCTCGTATACGTGTTGATAGCAATCTCCGACTACGACCGATGTACCTTGCTCCACAGGAGCAGATGAACTAGTAGATACACATGGATATGACCTGTCGAGCGATCTTGTCTTTTATATAAACGAGGAACAGTTCACGACTGGTAAAGACCAAACAAAGTTCACCTGCTCTTGTGGAGCAAGGTACATTGGCCGTAGTCAAAGATTACTGTCAACACGTATAGGAGAACATATTCCGACTTGGTTTTATAAGGGTGAAAGAAGTTCTATTCTTGAACACTGAATCGATTGCAACCATTCAACCGACGTAAACAATGATTTCAAGGTTGTCTATCGAATTCACTCAAACACCTCACGTTTCCTTCATCCGTATTCACCTTCTAAAAACAGAAGAGGCTTTAGCTATCCATAAACTCTAACCAGCCTGTCCTAGGTATGGATATAACCAAGACATATATATATATATATATATATATATATATATATATATATATATATATATGAGACATCTTCGCTGAATATCTTGTTTTTGATAAATAGTACACAACTGTGAGGTATGCCAGGTCGAGTTTTGTCGATACTACTCAATCAATCAATGTTTTTACATTGGCGTATTGCCAATTTTTTTTGTGTCAATGTCACTAGGAACATAAACATTGAGCAGATAAATCTTTCCAATAAATAAAATGAAATAAATATTTTTCATTAATTGATAATTTATCTTGTCAATTTGTTTCCTTTTCTTCTCCATCACTTTTTATTTCAGTTCTTTTAGTTCCATTTCATTATCTTCCCCTTCTACTCGACTATGGAGGTCTTGAATGCCATTTCAATTCATTATGGTGTCCAAATGGATTAATGGATATTGATAATAATAATAATATTGATAATAATAAAAAGGTGAATCGTACACATGATCAAGATGTATTGATGACAAGTTACAATAATGAATTAAGCGTTTCAGCTGTTAATTTTGTCGGGAAGAATTATGCATTCGCCAGTTCAGAATTACTACTACTTACTATTGGCTGTGCTAGTCTACTGGGTCGCTTATTCGCAGGTAAGTGTCCGTCTAATTTTAAGTATATATATTTTTTTATAAGATAAAATTGTTTGGCTTACCTTTTCGAATAATACCAGTATTTAACTTCTTGAATATAAAGGAGGATTCCACTATAATTCAGTTTGATGTAGTTACAGTTCAACAGAGTTATGCTTCAACCCTGTTTAGTTACCTGAGCAATTGAGCAATCGATTAGTAGTAAGACGTTATTTTAAGTTGCTACATACTTCACTTACGTAATATATATACTAGTAATATGAAAACAATCAGAGGGAGTTAAAAAAAAATAATGATTCAAAAATGGTACGAATGTATGTAATATGAATAAATAGATTATCGGTTGGATAGCAACCAATCTTATATTATGGTAAAGATGGATAGTGACTGGCAGTGGAATTCAAGATGTACATTTCGTCCTGTTTGGGACTCGTCAGCTGGATGTACCTGCCTCCCAGTGAGTGATGTTTTTCCCACCGGGGTTCGAACTCAGCAGCGATCGTTTCGAACGCCAGAGCACTACCTAATACACCACCGAGCCACGATAGTCATTTCTTGTGCGACGGGTATAGTTTTATTGTTATTTCTTGTAGTATACCGTCGTTGATTGGACCGAATTGATCCGTCTCTATTGACATATTGGCTCCTGTGCGGATACCTTGATATTACCTGCTTTTTCTCCTCAGTTGTAGTAATGATGGGAGGTGGCCGGCAGTGGGATCTAGGATGCGCATTTCGTCCTATTTGGTACTCGTCAGCCGGGTATGCCTGCATCTTCACAGAAGTCTGTATGCCAATAGAGCCTGGTCAATTCGGTCCAATTAACAACGGTTTAATATAAAAACAATTGTATCAATCTCGTGTTGTTGTCTAGTCCTGGGTGTTGACCGAGTTTTATCGATCATTGTGCAATGTGGCCACCAGGCTAGGCGACTCAACGGTGTGATACATTTTCATGAATATCAGTGGTAATATCTCTGACTAGTACACTGGATGACGCGATTTCCATTCTCATAAGGGGATATTAGTTCGCTGAAGGTTTCAAACAAACTTTGCTGACGAAATATGGGTTAAGGAGGACTTTGTATCGATTACCTATAGCTAAGTGACATCGATCAAAGCGGTTGTCTTTTCATTTCTATATTTGATTCTCTGTAATAATTTTTTTTTTATCATCACATGAATTTTGTATCTATTGAAATCCATATCTTCTCGTGGATCACTATCATCTTCCACTTGATCCATACAAATCTTTCCTATCATTTCGGAATACTACTAGCTGAGAATGTCCTATTCACTATCTTTGAGTAAGGTCAAATCAGTTGAAACAATCAAGGTGTTTACCGCTAAACAAGGTTGCTATAACTGATGCAGTCATTCTATAAAACGTAATTACAGAGAACCGAATATCATAAGTAGTCTGTGAACAGTTTGTAATGGTTCATCTCCAAGAGGATTTTTAAACCTGACGTTACTTTTGCTGTTCGTTCGTTCAGATTTCCCGGTCAGAAAGTTTGCTTTGGTTTCTGGAAGACAATCAAGCATTTTCTAAAACTCGCTTACCGTACTAGTATGAAGAACTACTTACAAACTATGACTCAATGTTAAACCATGCGACAAAAGAAGTTAGTATCTAACGTTTCCCATAGCCATGTGAACACCTTTCTCAAAGGATAACATTGATATAGAGTTGAGGGAAAAAAGCCTAGTCTGAAGAGCGATCAACCAAAATGTACTTTATGCTATTTATTATTTGTTCCTCGGGTTCCCACTGGAACATAGAGCTTCACTAACACGTCACCATTCCACTCTCTTCTCTTCACTCTTTCCAACCTCAATCCACCACTCCACTCCCCACAAACTTTCATTTCTTCCTCACACCATCACCTCCATATCACCCTCACCTCGGACACCAAACTCATCGTTTCCACTTCGGGTTCCACTCAACGGTGTGGCCTCACCTGATGCATGGTGTCCCCAAACCGTCTTCCTTCTCAGTCTATGTCCACTCCACTCCAATCCATCTACCTGCACTTTCTTCTTCATATTTGTTCAGCGATGAGTTCTTGGTTGATTCGTTGCCCGGCCAACCACAGTGAGTTCCTTCTTGCTTATTCTTATTATTCTGACCATCTTTCTCATCTTCAGTATCGACCGTAGAAGGCAGCTGATTATGCATGTCTGCAGTTGCTTGTTGGAAATGCTTTTCGAAACGCACCGCAAAGTCTCTCAACCATCACATAGAAGCACTGACTGACTTGAGTGACATCAGTGTTGAAAATCCGGATGTTGTTCACGCTTTATGCTGAGTGGAGTGCAGTATATCTCCACACTGATATCAGGTTAGTGAAGACCTGCCTTACTGTCTTTCTTATCCTGGCTGCTTTGAAATCCTCATCTGTGTCACCGCCGCCTGTAGTTGGAATGATGCTCTGTAGGTAGGTATGGGTGAATGAGATAACTTCCTTTAGATTTCTCCTGTTGGTGGTGATTGATGGTTGTTGTTGTTGTTGGTTGTACTTTATGTTATCACGTCTACAATTAGACAGACAGTCGCTGAACCAGCCAATCAGTTTTATTATTTTAAACCGTGAACTATATATATGATGACTCTGTATTCAGTCATCATCTTTGTCTCCATAGGATTGCTCGTATCTGGTGGAAACACCATGCATGGGAGAGGTCATCATTCACTAAGTGAAGTCATCTGGAAACACCGGCTTCGATGGCTTGGACATGTGTTATGCACGTCATTGTAATGACCTCCACACTGTTTATTGTTCGCTAACCCTGGAACTGGATGGAGGAAGCGGAGTGATGGTCAGTGTATGACGTGGCACCGTGGGATGATGGATAGTTCTATCGAGTGAGCATCTGTTGGTTCATCACAATTCCCTAGGGAAGAGGTTCAAGAGATCACGGAACTCAGTGACTTGAGACGTTATTGGATACGGCAGAGAATCGAAGCCAGTGGCGGTTATGCTGTAGCTTCTTTCTATCTCCTGCTGCTGAAAAATAATGAATGTTATGTTTTGAATGTATCTTATTGGACTACCATTCTAATCATTTTTCTCCTTCTTTATCCATTTCCTTTCACTTTATGTCTTCATAATGTTATGTTATTTTGTGGTGCATTTCCTGGTGTCCTTTCTGTACCATCTTTGTGTCCTAATAATAATAATAATAATAATAGTAGCAGTAGTAGTAGTAATAATATTGATAACAATAATGGTCATTTCAAAGCGTCTTTCACTTACGGGTTAGTTGTTGAATAGATAGTTGTATTACTAGAATAGATCTTTATCTTCAGGGATTTTAATCAGTGTAAGTATTAACTAAGAGATGGGGAATTGTAGTCTTTTGCACTTTTTGTTCACGCTTGGATGGTTTACAGATAGGATAAAGTTGATGAAGATTTATCTTACTGATATCTTGTCATTATTTTCATATTGTTAGCTGGGTATATTGTCCAGGTAGTTATATTATGTCTAGGTTTACAGATAAGTTGTTTGATTGATTGACCAATATAAACTTGTCGTTTGCGGGTTGGGTATATGATCCTTAAAACCTTACTGAGTGCCATTTTGATATGCGAATTTTCTGTTATTCGATGGCCATATTGGTGATCATCAAGTCTAACATATTAAGTGTTGCTCATAGCCTAGGAAATACACCTGTACCAGATAGATAAGTTGCCTTACTTATTGCTTATTTTGCAGTGCAAATTCAATCAGCAAATGCAACATGTGACATTACTTGTTCTCCTGGGACTGATCAGTACCATTTCTTATTTAAATAACAATTCTATAAACGAATAATAGTGAATGAAGCATTAGATATAATTCACTTTGATGCGTACCAATGTGGAGTCTTGTACTACGATGAAACAGTTGTCCAGTGACACCCCCCCCCTAGGGTTATCCGTTGATGAGTAGCAACTTCGAATCAGTACATCCCCACAAACCTTCAAATTCAATTATTGTCCGGTGGTTATTAGTAACTTGCTACAAGGTGAGAATTCCCTAAGTTTTAATGGTTAGTAGTTGATCGGTGGGGTAATCGAAGTCGAACGTGATGACTGTTACTCAACGAGCCCATTGAATGATGGTCACGCTGTATTGTGAACTGATAGAAATACGATGTGTGGACCATTGGATACTGACCCAGTGACTCGATGGTTACTTGCTGACCATGGGACCTGTAGGTCCTGAGTTCGATCCCTGAAAGGGTCGGCATGGGTGCGCACTACTACGGAGTCTCATACTAGGACCTAGTGGCTCTCGACAGTTCTCTGGTTGGTATGAGTTCATGGTGAATAACAACTTGAAATCACTAGATATAAGACTGACTGTGTATGAAAATAGTATCTGTTTACGGACTTTGCGTGTAACATAGCTCGCAATCAACACTATAGTCTATATGTATCCAAGTATTATCTCTCCCTCTTCCAAGATCTTAGAAAACATATTCGTAAGGATTTTTTTATTATCTCTTTTTCTCTTTGGTTCACAGTTTTTTGTTGTTGCGAAAAATTTATATTGATCTCTTTGTCTTCTTTGTCTACTCCTTTGTTTACTTCACTTCATGGTGTTGATATGTTATAAAGTATTGAAAACTTGTGACGATATACAGCAAACATTATTGTGTCATGTGTTATTTATGTCTATCTCTTTGTGAATAAGCTATTGAACAAACAGTCTTGTACTTCTACTCCTCGTACACGTGTAATGGACAGTTTTATTACTTTGTTTAAAAGAGAGGAATAAAAAATGAAGATGTGCCAAAAACGTGATATGACGGTCAGAAACTGGGTTAACTTTTGCTTAAACTGATTGGTTAAAGTTATCTGATGACCTTCAATAGCTATGTCTTCTATTTCGATAATATACGCGATAGAAAGCTTGGAGCTTAGTGATCTGACTGTATACATAAGTAATCATTTTCATTTCAGTCTTGTAAAGTTTCGCGCTAGGGTTTCATGAGCAAACACCATCTCTAGGACATTGTATGAAAACTGTTCATCCAGTAGACAAATAAACAAAAATCTCAGCATTTAACTACTTCGCTTTTGTATCAAGTAGTCAGTCTAAACCAATAAATCGTATTGTGTAGGGTAGAAATCGCATTTGTATTTACGACAATTTATGTAATGGACAAAATAATGCTGAGTTAAATATATTATAAAAAGGCTTTATTACAATTACCCATTACCCATTCTCCAGTGGATTAATTATCCACATGGATATCGGACTTTTGCCCACTTACGCCACCTGTGGCGCCAATGTGTCTATTATGGGTTGCGTGTACTGCACACCAGTTCGCTCTGTTCTCCTGTATGGCTGTGAAACATGGTCATTGAAGGTGAAAGACATGAGAAGGCTTCAGGTAAGTCGGTTGACGAGGTTGTGAACCTTCATCGACTGAGATGGTTGGGACACGTGTTACATATGCCTAGTCGCCATCTGCCTCGTCACACAGTGTTGGGTGAAGTAGGTTCAGGCTGGAAAAAGACTGGAGGTGGCGATACTGAAACATAGCATCAATGTATAAAGTCTTTGACTGTTGGTTTGAGTCATGTGGGGCAATGCAGACTAGCCGCGGGACAAGAGGAACCAGTAGTAGGAGACTGACTCTAGGTGGTATGGTTGGGAACCAATGTCAGTGGCGCAGATGTATACATACATTATCGTCATCTCAACACAATACTGAACCTCACTATTTTCCCATTCTTCTTTTCCCTCTTTTCATATTTTATATTTCTTTTAACTGAATTCTTTTTCCTTCATTTCCCACTTCACTGCCTTTTTACTTGATGCCCAGTCCTATATTGATTTAGATGGATGGATGAATGGACATGCAATATGTCCAGCTTGATTTATTGGACAGCAGAGCGAACACTTCATGTTCGATCAGGTTTAACCAACAGGACAGTGATACTCTTAAAGGTATGAAACTTCAGTTGCTGGTACTGCCAAAATATCGGAAATTACACAGTCATCTCTCAATTTAATTTCTTTTCTTTGATAATCTTTACTATTGACAATGCCTGGTGAAAGAAATGATTGATGAATGTTTAGTTGTTGTTTGTCACTCTTTTTTCGATTGTGGAGAGTTAACTGATTTCCTCTAGTAAGCTTTCATTGTAGAATAAATGTTATATTCATCGTGGTGACTAGCACTGGAGAATCCAAGACGCACACTTCGTCCTATTCCGCTGAATGTATATGCATCCCAGTGAGTGATGTCTTAAAAACTAAATAATACTGGTTCATTGATACCAACACATGATAACATCTACCAGGAAATAAGTCATTTTCTCTATATCCGGCTTAGTAGTGATTAGTTTTAAGTCAGGATCCTAATAAATCTAATATAGGCTTGTGTGTTCTAGTAAAATAACTGAAGTTGTAAGATGTAGAGCATTGGTCTTTAAATTGATTAGGTTTCCTTTCTGGTTCTTTGGAAGTTCTCTTTTAAGTGGATTGAAAGCAGAATATGAAACTGATGCTCTATAGTCAATATTTATTGCAGGAACCATTCATAACCATATGGATCTTGTTATATTTTGATTTTTCTTACTCCAGTATCTTGTTGTTGTTGTTTTTGTGGTTATAGGATTGTATATTGAGAAGGGATTGAATACAAATCGAAAATTCTTGCGTCAATGTCCTCAATTAGTGGATCCTATGCTGTTGAACAATATCTCTTTAATCTTATGTGGCCTATCAGTTATGTCATTTCCATTAGCTATTCATGGTGTTATACAGACTTCAAGCTTAGATCGATTAACTCATCGTGTATTACAAGTATGGTCTTTACAATTTCGACGTCAGTTATTATATTTCGCTGGTACTGTTTATGGTTTAGCTACCGGTGAGTTAGATTTTGATTTTCTTATTATTGTCCATAAGAGAATTTATTATTATTATTTTTCCCTTGGGTTCCTAATGGAACATTCAGCTTCAGTAGCACGTCTCCATTCCACTCTCTTCTCTACAATCTTTTCAACCTGGTTCCACAACTGCTCACAAGCTACGATGTCCTCCTCACACGATCTCCTCCATATCACCCTCACCTCGGATGCCCAACTCATCGTTTCCATCAGGGTTCCACTCGAGAGTCCCGCCTGGTGCGTGATGTCTGCGAATAGTTTTCTTAGTGTATGCCCAACACATCTCCACTTCCTTCTGCATATTTGTTGAGCGATGGATTCTTAGTTGATTGGTTACCAGCCAGAGTGAGTTCCTTGTTGCTTATTATTTCTGGCCATCTGGTCTTCAGTATCTAGTGAGCGTAGGCAATTGTTGATGAATGTCTGTAGACTGTTGGAAATCCGTTTCGTAATGCGCCAAGTTTCTGAACCATCACATAGAAGCACTGAGTTAGTGTAGAAAATCTGCATCTTGTTCCACATGCTGAGATGCTTAAGAAAAAAGTTATTCAAAATTAAGGGTAAGCTCGAAATGCTACTGCTATTGAATATGGTCTTGATAAACGTCTTGTTCACTTCTGGACTAAAGTTGCTGAAAGTCGAGAAGGCATCAGGACTAGAAGGAATTTCTACAGAACTACTGAAAACAGACACAGAGACAACAACTTGGACACGCTCATACCACTATTGCTGAAGGTTTGGAAGGAAGAAAGAAAGGAAAGGTAAGGTACATCTTGATTGGAAGAAGGGATACCTTATCAAACTCCCGAAGAAAGGAGTTTTAAGTTCTTGCAAGAACATGTTCTGAATCATGCTCCTGTTCATCCTAAGCAAAATATTAAGCCGCATCATCCTGGAGAGACTATAAGATGCTCTGGATTCAAAATTACGACCGGAACAGGCCGGATTCAGG